ATCCCAGGGAGGATTTGCCTAATATGAAGGTTGACCCTGCAGGTATGCCCAGCTGTGTCCTATAACTGTCCCCTCATACTTCCTCTTGTAATTGGCAGAGTAGAGAAATGACTAAAACCTGCACTCTGCTAGAAAGGCACCAGTTTTACGGGACCCTGGGGAACTGATTCCATTAAAGCTCCACAAAATCAGGACAAGAGAAGCAAGTAGCTGGAAGTTTAGCAGGCTTTCATTTAGTTGACTTTGCCCATTTTAGGCCAGGCAGTGTGCTTGTGGAAGCACAAGCATTTCCAGGTGCTTCTTAGGGTACACTTATTTCCCTGAGAAAAGATAATCCTGATGGGCTCCTTATACAGTAAATGGGTGAGCCAGATTCAATTTTTCCGTGTGCATGTTTGGCATCTCAGCTTGCACACGGATACATTCCTGGTTTTTCAGTCCTGTATATTCACTGCTGATCTGCTGTTTGTTGTCCATAAAAGTGGACAGAGCTTGGCAGGAAAATATGGAGGTGTGTTTTCTATCCCAACGTATATACTACAGTTACAGTCTTTGAGGTAATTCCTGTACTGTACATGTATTATTTTCGGAAGAACGTCAGAAAGCAACTTTTTTCAGGTTGTTGGAATTTCAATTCGACTTCATTTATGCGACATTTGGTGCAAAGAGGCCTACTCTTATTGTCTAAATAGCCAGAACAACCCCGCTCGCACCCCCCAAATTGTGCTCATCGGAGGAACAAACAGAAGTAGGAGGCTGCCTGTCAAAATGTCATCAAGCATTTAACAAACTTCCCTCTAAAAAGAAAAGAAGCACTTGCAAAGAAGCTTCCATGCTAGCAGTGACAGAAGATGTTGTGTGGTAAGGAGAGATCCAGATTAAATACTTTTTTAAAGAAAGTATGGGGTGACATTTTGATGACAACAATGGTGTATGAATGTGGCAAAAAAACCGCAGTAGTCCACAATAAACTTCCATGTGGCAGAAATTCAACAGAAGCTTTTCCCTCAGTGGGGGAATGGGAATGCAGAACACTTTTTTGTTTTGTTTTGCTTTGCTTTGTTTTTGCCAACAGTATGTCTGTCTTTTTGGAGCTAAGAACACAGGATTATAACCAGGCCCATTCCTCACTTCCTTTCAAAAGAAAAGTGTCAATTTTGATTCCTAGTAACTCACGTCAATTTGTTTGTGCCTGTTCCTTTGGCCTGTTGATTTATTCCTCAAGGTATAACAGTTCTCTCTAGAATTTGCTTATGCTTAACCCTTGATAGAGTGGGACGCGGGTGGCGCCGTGGGTTAAACCACAGAGCCTAGGACTTGCCGATCAGAAGGTTGGCGGTTCGAATCCCCGCCAGGGGTTGAGCTCCCGTTGCTTGGTCCCTGCTCCTGCCAACCTAGCAGTTCGAAAGCACATCAAAGTGCAAGTAGATAAATAGGTACCGCTATAGCGGGAAGGTAAACAGTGTTTCCATGTGCTGCTCTGGTTCGCCAGAAGCGGCTTAGTCATGCTGGCACATGACCCAGAAGCTGTACACCGGCTCCCTCAGCCAATAAAGCGAGATGAGCACCGCAACCCCAGAGTCGGCCACGACTGGACCTAATGGTCAGGGGTCCCTTTACCTTTACCTAACCCTTGATAGAGCCTAATGCTGTCTTGGCCTGTGATCCAATTGTGCAAGCATCTGTTTTGGATTCACGAAACCAAAAAGGACAACGTATCAGTATCGCAGAAAATTGAAATTTCTGTTGGTATGTCCAGCATGAGAAGCAAACTATCTGTCTGTATTACAAGGGTGAGGGATTAATAGGATAGGAGCCCGTTACAAGGTTTCCCTGTTTGTGAAAGTTCAAGCAAGCAAGGGAACGTGGTGAGGGTCAAAGTGTATTTCAGCGAAGGATCTGAGATGACATTTAAGGGTTCAGCTTCAGCTATATGCACATCCATTTGGAAGTATCACACTTCTAAATAAAGATGTGCAGGAAATGGCTGCATGAAAGATTTCATTATGTGCAGAATATAATTTCCAGACAGAAAGCTGAACACTTCATAGGGCACCCCAGGATGAGATTTGACAGTGGTCACTGCTGTCTCAGTTCTGCGCTATTGATGTGTGAAAGCCTTTTAGGCATGTCTAAGAATGCATAGAATTCTGCCATCTATTTTCCTGCCAATCTATCTTTCTTCCTCCATGCCAAAATTAGACCACGATTGTTTATTGACAAGGAGTTCCGGTTTCCTACTTACATCAGCTCCTCTTGGAATGTTACAATGGGCAGCCTGTTGCAGAATAACCTACAGCCAAGGCCAAGGGTAGAGTTCTTAAGAGAGACGGGGTTACCAGAGTATCTTTGGACAGGACCTGAAAAGTGCTGTTATATTAGCCTTATGGTGTGTGTGTAATATTACTGCAATGCATTATTCAACAAAGCAAGTTCAGATCATCGTTTTAGATTTCTGTGGTGTAACCTGCCCTGGAAAATGAAGGATGGGCTAGAAATATGTTGTACACTGCTTTGTTACATTTTCAACGACAAGTGAGATTCATAAATGTTTCAATAAATTAAATAAATATTTAAAAGGATACCAAACAGAGATCATGTGTTGCCATGAGGAGGAGGAAGAAGAGATGGATGTGTGTGCACGAACTGGTTGGATGCTTGTGAGTGGGATGGAGGGATAGGTTGGGAGGATAAACCTGAAAAAGTGTGAGAGAATGGGGGGGGGAGTGAGTTTATTTAGAAGTAATTTTGGCAAATTGGCTGCCTTCTGGGGTTTCTGTTGGACAGAAAACTGCAGTTCAAATGAGTAACTTCACTTTCAGGAATGAGGAGGGGCAGAATGCAATCACTTGAGAGTCAAAGAACATAAAGCTATTACTTTAACTCATAAAATTAAGGAACAACTAAGCCAATAAATGAAGCATTATAACAATAAATAACCATATCACATTGTCCCAACCTCACATCAATACTGGTTATTCATCTCAGCACTTTTTAAAAAGATATATGAGTCAATGATGTCAGATAACTGTCGCAGTTTGGGTGATAAAATTTCTGACCCCAGTCTTTCGGCTTGTCAGAGCTCACTTTATTTTCTGCTCTGTTGTGTAATGGCTTCCTTCCTTTTCCCCCCTTTCCTTCTTTGTGACATTGCTCTTTCTTCAGCTTCTCATCACTCTGCTCTTCTCTTTCCTCACCCCTCTACACTGAGTCCTTCTTCAACAGACTTTTCCTTTTCTTTCCCACTTACCACCCCATACTTTTTAATTTATTTATTGAATTTATATACCACCCTATACCCAGAAGTAGTTCACAGAATAAAATCTAAATATAAAACCACAAAATACATAATCAAAATAAAAACAACAACCCATTAGCCCCATACCCCTCACATTTGCCCGAGTCATGCCTAAGAAAGGCCTTAGGCAAATTTTGCCTGACCAGTTTGAAATGGCTTTTCAGTGGAGAGGTTTTGTATACAGAAATTGACTCCCCACAACTCAGCTTGAAACTCAGTTTCTTGAGCAAGTTACTTGTCCTTTGTGACTAGCCATAATCCCCATTTTGTGATGGTGCCCACAGCAATTTTTCAAATTCTTAAATGTGCCTATATGCTGAAAAGTGTGGTATCCCTTACTGGGGAATTGTCACACAGTAAGAAAGATGGGGTGTTTCTAGGCCACACACAATGAAAAGGGCTCCAGTTGTAAAATGGTTTCTCAAATATAACAAAAGTTTTCATTGCTTACACTTGCTTTAATTACATGCCTATCACCTTAAAAGGGCAGCGGGGACCCATTTTAAAAAGCAAAGATAATAGATTTCACAATCCGAAACACCCTGTTAGTCGTGGCCAAATACGTTATCTGCTCTCTGAGATCTCAAGCAATTCCATGCAGTGTCATGAATTTATATGACAGTAATGGGTTTTATGGAACAGTCCCCTTCCATCTCTCTCTACTCCTTTGAAAGTGGCAAGCAAGAAAAGGAGGCGGAGTTGGGAGCATAAGATAATTTCTCTTTACAAAATAAGAAGTCACAATTTGATTGGTTAATGCTCACATTTTGTTTAAATTACCCTTCTTAGCTGGAAAACATGCTATTTTTGTAAAACTGGAGGAAGGCGACTGTGAGATGGTGTCATTCTGTAGGGAGAGGAATGCGTCCCTCCACCCCAGAATCTGTACTATCCCTCTTAGGAGTTCAGAAACAATATTTTAACTGCCAAAAAAATGAGGAAGATGTTGCTATAAAAATAAGCTACAAGCAGATTGCGTGGTATAATATTTTGAAATAAACTTCATAGATAATTTGTATCCAATTGTACACACACACACACACACACACACACACACACCCCGCTGTATTTTCTCTCTCTTTTACTCTTGAGTTCAGGGGACTTACATGAAATGTGCTTAAGGTGGGGCTTAGGGAATGTTGTTCAGCCCCATGAAATGTGGGGTTTGCAGGTTTACTTTTATCCCCCATGTAGTTCAACATCAACATAATACTGCTGAGTGAGACAAGCTGGTGTTTTCAGAGTACATTGTTAGTAATAGGCTGATGAAACACAGCTCTGTTTCTTTTTTACACCTGCAGGTGTGGCAGTTGATGTGCTAGATTGATGTCTGGCCTCAGGAATGAACTGGATGAGAACCAATAAACTGAAGCTTCATCCAGACAAGGCTGAGGCATTGTTAGTGGGTGATTCCCTAGGCAGGATAATAATAATAATAATAATAATAATAATAATAATAATAATAATAATTTATTTGTACCCTGCCCATCTGGTTGGACTTCCCCAGCCACTCTGGGCGGCTTCCAACAAAGATTAAAAATACATTAAAATGTCACACATTAAAAACTTCCCTGAACAGGGCTGCCTTCAGATGTCTTCTAAATGTCAGGTAGTTGTTTATCTCTTTGACATCTTATGGCGTTCCACAGGGCGGGCGCCACTACAGAGAAGGCCCTCTGCCTGGTTCCCTGTAGCTTTGCTTCTCACAGTGAGGGAACTGCCAGAAGGCCCTCGGCTCTGGACCTCAGTGTCCAGGCAGAACGATGGGGGTGGAGATGCTCCTTCAGGTACACAGGGCCAAGGCCATTTAGGGCTTTAAAGGTCAACACCAACACTTTGAATTGTGCTCGGAAACGGGACATGGCCTACTCTGGATGGGGTTATACTCCTTCTGAGGGTACAGAGAGGGTATTTCTGGGTCCATTACCATCACCAAGATGGCCCAGAGTGCCTTCCATCAGCTTTGACTGGTGGCCCAGCTGAGCCCCTCTCTAGACAGGGTTAGCCTAACTTCTGTTGTCTATGCTCTGGTGACCTTTCGGTTGGATTGCTGCCATGCGTTAAATGTGGGGATACTTTTGAAGATGTTTCAGGAATGTCAGCTGGTATAGAAATCGGAAGCCAGTTTGCTAAGCAGGGCAGGACAGTCTGAGTGTATTATAACACCAATTCTGGCATGACTGCACTGGTTATAAACTAGTTTCAAAATGCTAGTCTTGACCTATAAGGCCTAATGCCTCAAGGACTGCTTCTCTCCACATGAACTGACCCAAACCCTGCAATCTTGAGCTGAGGGCCTTCTCCATTTGCCTCCTCCATGAGAGATAGAGGGTGGCAACATAAGAACAGGTCTTTTCAATAACTCCCTGCTTGTGGAATGCTCTCCTGGCCTTATTTTTATCTATTTTATGAACTAGGCAAAATATTTCCCCTTTGAAGGGTTTCAAGTATTTGTGGCTGCTTATAGAAGGGCAGGTTCTTGTAAGTCTTGCCTTTCATTTGTGATAGATTTGGGGGGGGGGGTTATTGGTTTGTTTGCTGTAATTGGTTTTAGGGTTTATAATATGTTGTTAGTCACTTTGGGTCATTTTTGTGAGTAAAGTGACTAATATCAATCAATAATAACAACTTGTGGTTTGATGGTACGCCTGGCCAGGTTGCCGCACCATTGTTTTCCTGTAGTGAAAACCGTGCTGCAAACACAGCCATCCAAATCTAGTCCACTGCATGATCTTTCCAATAAGAGGTTGGCAAGCAGGGCATCGCCTACCTGTCTGTCCTAATGGTAGAAAACCAGGCAATTTAAACTGTCACTGTCTTTATGCAGACATCAAAACTAAGAATGGATTCAGTTGGTGACTGGTGTAAGTTTCTCATCAGCATCTAGCTGATCATTAGCAATGACAAATCCCTCAAGAAGTCTAGACATCTCAAGCTTATCTCAGTTTTGGTTTATGCTTTCATGCCTTCTGAGACTAGAGAATAACAAACCTGGAGCACAGAACTTCCAATCTGTTAATGCGCTCTGTTTATTTCGTACATTCTTTATGAATCGTTGCAGTGTTGAAATACAGTCATTTCAGAGGTTATCAACAGATGTATTGGATTTAATGAATCACGCACATCTTTGTGAAGCCTGAAAAAGAGACCTCCTCCATATAACAGCGTATAAAAAGAAATAGAATTTCTGCCAAAAAAAATAACGCCCTAAGCAAAATAGACATGAGTGTGTTTTAATGGATGTTTAGCCCTGTACATGACTCAGAGGGAAATGTGCTGCAAGGTGACATTGGAGGTACCTACCATTAAGGGATGGAAGAGAAATTTGATTTTGCTTGCATTATAATGAGAAAGTACCTAATGTGCCCTTCTTGAATCAATATGCGAACTGAAACACATCTATCCTTTGAAAGGCGAACTCCAAATTCTGCGTTGCAGTTTTCCAAGCAAGTAATTTATATAAAAATGCACTTATTGGGCGAAAGTGCATACAAATGCTTAGCATTTAGTGTGAACCATGCAAAGTCCATACTGAAAATGTCAAATAGGCCCATAAAGGTAAGGTCCTGAAAAAGTAAGGCTACAATCCTAAACACACTTGCTAGAGAGTCAGTGGTATTCTTCTGAGAACCAGTGCACACTGCTAGATCTGTACATCATCTGATTTATTGCATTTTTAATATTTGTTGCTGACCATCTCAGCTGATAAAGGAAGTGAGATTTAAAAGTACAATTGTATGGAACTTGGACTGTTACAAACCAAAATGCATTTTGAAATGAAGATTAAAATAGTTATTTCTTTGGGCCACACAATACAGAACACGAGCTAATTGCTATCTCTAAAGGAGTGTCAGCTACCCCAAGATAATTTCTTCTTCCATTGTTATGATCTGTAGAATCAGACAGAAGTGATTTCTTTAAGATTAGAATTCCTTAGGCTCAAGTTATAGCAGCCATTTCAAGGGAGAGAGATTTCTTGGGCAGAAACCCAGATAAAGAGTTCCTCAGACATGAGAGAGGTCTTACATAGGTATTTTGTTTGGCTTGTAGCTTGTGTACTCTTGTCTTAATTAGCAAGAAGAGAACGTAGGCAGAGACATTTCTGCTGGATAGTGTTTCCTTGGGCTGGACAGGAATTTTGTAAATAAACTGGGAAGTGCAGATACTTTATTTTCCTTAACAAGGATATCCTGTGAACTTTTCTCTCTCTCCAGTCTTCTCCGTCACTGGCTAAATGCTGCAAGCTGCATAGCGGACTGTCAGACGTCCCAGAAAGTAGCATCGTTAATGGGAGCAAAGGGTCACCAGAATATTTGAAGATTCTATTTCTGAATGGTGAGCTCAGCTTTGGAGGGGCTCACTGAAGCAGATGTGGGTGTGAGTGGTTAAACGGGAATGCTGGAGCATCCAGAAAAAACTTTCATAGTTCCACAGATTCAAAACCAACTCTAGAGCTACTTTTCCATTTTGTAGGGAATCCTTGTTTATAAAGTTTGAATCCAGAGACAGATATTAATATTGTCTGGGGGACATGGGCAATAATATTGTGTATGTTTTGCATGCTTATAATTGCCAGCTAGCTAGAATTTTACAGGCTCATTCTGGATTTTACCATCTTGTTTTCTTGCCAGAACTAGGATGTACATTATTTGAGCTGTTGAACCGCGGTGGAAGTACGCTCACTGTGTTGTATACAAATGTACAATTTCCTGTCCAAGATTAAGCTAACAGGAGGTCAGTTCTCCCAGTTTACAGCAGAGGCTGGCTATATACAGCACAGTTTGGCTGGCACTTGAGTCGTCACTAACTTTTCTAGTCCCTAGTACAATTTTGCAGCTCTTTTAACATGGATTTTCAGTAATAAAAAAATAATAATGCAATCATCAAAATGTTTAAATGAATAGAAGATTAGTGCTGCACTTAAAACTGCTTTTTTTAAAAGCAGAAAGCTAAACAGTCCATCTGAAGATTATGGGAAGGGGTCTACTTTATGGGCAGAATTCAGTGTTGTTTTTGGACGCTATTTATGATGGAGAAATCCCGGGTATGTCCGGGAAATCCTGGGCATATGGCAGCCCTAGGAGATCCACAGTTAAAGCCCAAATTTTTGTGGTTTTCAGGGTGGAATATGTGTATTCACTTTAAGATCTGCAGCTGAACCATAAGAAAATGTGGAAGGTGGGAAAGCATCAGCACTCCTTTCTCTTTAGGGGCAACTGACAGAAGCAATAAAACTCAACAAAAACCATTGATGTAACCTAGTAGTTAGCATAATGTGTTTCTCTTTTTACTGTTTATCCCTCAAATGCAAGCACTGCTCAGCCTAAATAAATCTATCATATGCTGATTTTTTCCCTTTCCTTCTCATATCACAACCTCATCTATCTCTACATGTGTCTATCATCACCTCTCAAATTTGGCTCGAATCTGTATTTTGGCTCTGCTGAAGCTGTTACTCAAACCACAGCCACTTCCTGACACAACAGTAATGCCTATACATCTGCAGTATCTATACATGAAAGGCCAGTCGTTTTCTGTTTTCTTCAGACATGCATTGCGTGCTCAGAAAAATTAATCTTAGCGTGCATCTACATTTCCCCTGATACCAGTGTTCAAATTCTGATTTTCTTGCCAGTTGGGATCTTCACAAGAGAGGCTAATGGATAGTCCTGAGTATATCACTGTTTCATCTGTGTTTCTGCTTTTATCTTTCCTAGCTAATCTTCTAGTAGAGCTTTATAGTATTCACAAAAGGGCTTATTAATCGTTGGAAATCGCAACATGTCTTTGGGGCACCATCAGTCAAAGAGTGCTTTTCTGAGATGAGACAGATCTGTAACTTGAGATGATGCAGCAGGACTTTTGCTACTAGTTTTTGGTAGAATGAGACAAAATTGATATTGCTCTTTATGGTTGGGTGAAGTTTCACTGAAAATTATATAAACAATATAATGATTAATTTAACATATTCCTGGTTATTTATTGTCTTTTAAATATTAACAATATATGATATATTTTGGACATGCTTTCCTCTTCCAGACAACAATGTGACACAGTCTTTAGATGATAAGACTCGTAGAAGCATCTGACCTGTTTGAGAGGAAAGTTTCAGATTTTGTAAAGAGGATATGTGAGCAGTATCCCTCAGAAGTTCAAAAAGGCTTTGACCATTTAAGCCGATGAGGCTTCTATCCATAATGAAAATAAAAAAAGAAGTGAGAACACTAAATAAAAATAAGGCAACGAAACCAGAGTGAGTGGTTTATTGAATCAGCTAATCTGAGAGGACATGTACATCATTGTCTAATCTTGTGCAATCAGAATTGACATATTTGTTTTAATATTTATGAATATTCTTAAATCTTTAATATGACAAAATCTATGGGAGGAATTCAAAGTAGCGCTTTAGCAATCATTCAATCAACTTGCCAGATGGAACAAACCCTCACTGTTTTGGGGGTTCTACTGACCATCTGGGCCAATTTAATAGTATTAGTAATAATAGTAATAATTCTATACCATCAAAAATCACAGGGTGGTTTACAATATAACAACACAAAAATATATACAGTGGTGCCCCGCAAGACGAATGCCTCGCAAGACGGAAAAACCGCTAGACGAAAGGGTTTTCCGTTTTGAAGTTGCTTCGCAGGACGAATTCCCCTATGGGCTTGCTCGCAAGACGAAAATACCTTGCGAGTCTTGAGATTTTTTCGCTTTTCCCCCCCTTTATCTAATCTGCTAAGCCTTTAATAGCCTTTAATAGCCTTTTAGCAGCTAATCCCCTAAGCCTTTAAGCCTTTAATAGCCGCTAAACAGCTGATAGCGCTAATAGCGCTAATCCGTCAATGGGCTTGCTTCGCAAGACGAAAAAACCGCTAGACGAAGACTCTTGCGGAACGGATTAATTTCGTCTTGCGAGGCACCACTGTACCATAATAACAGTATTGGGAGGTTTTTAACGCTTGTTGTTTTCATTATGTTTTTAGATATGCTGTAAGCTGCCCAGAGTGGCAGTATGGTGGGGCTGGTATAAATAAAATAATAATAATAATAATAATAATAATAATAATAATAATTAACATAAGTTGCAGGTGAGTTGCTGGATCTAACGAGGATTCAATTGATGGAATAGCTAGGCAAGTTTATTGGTCATGGCCCTTAAGTATGGGTCGTTAGCCCTGCATGTAAAAACTTTCTTTTGGTTCTTGGCTAATAGCTAGGGTGATGGGAGTGGAAGTCCAGCAACATCTGGAGAGTTGAACAGATTATTCAACCCTGCATTGTTGTAGAGAAATTTAGCAGATAAAGCCTCTGTTTCCCCCTTACTTCATCTCCTCATTATTTCATGTCCATGCCAATAAAAGTCACATTTATTTTACTTTAAAAAGTGGAGAATTTAGGAAAGAGCTAAACTGAAAATGTATTTCTGTTTTATAATAGTTTCACTCAGGGCTATTTTTCTAGAAAAACAGGTGCCAGAACTCACCGTGAACGCCTCCCTTTTTGTCTTATAATGGCAATGGCACCCACCTGACAGGTGCCAGAAATGAGTTCTGGATACATCACATAAATACTGTTTTTCAGAGTTTACTGGGAGAAGGGCAGTTTCTAAATTAGTTCAGGTCTACAGTAGATATATTCCCTTAGATTTAGCATGAGCAGGCCTCTTGGTGGCATCTTACTATATACAATACTCAGCTAGTAAAATAAGGCACCTCCCCCCATTTTGGTACATTTGGTACGTTTCTTTACAAATATGCAAACAGATCATCATGCAAGTAAATTCTAAGAGCAGGCAGTATAACTGTGAATCCTGCTCAGATTCTTATACCACTGCATTTCAGGGAAGCTTTCGATGTAGCCAGCTCCAACCCCCAGCTCACTACATCAAATTCGCAAACTCTTTTTCTGGATTTTGATTAAAACATAAATTCAAATTATGTTAAATATATGTATATGACTGTATTCGCCCCTCTGATCACTTTACAATGTATCCACCAAGTTGTTACGTGTTCTTGAGTGTTGCATAACTGGACAGAACAATCGAGCAGGGAGAGTCCAAGATGGAGGAACTGCCAATTCCTAAGTATTACTGGCTAGGGTGGGAGATTGTGGGGCACCCCCTCCCTCCCTTGCTGTTGTTTTTTTTAAAATTCATTCCCATTAGTTTCAGTAAGAAGTAAACAATTATTGTTATTGTTTAGTAGTGCCTGACTCTTTGTGACTCCGTGGACCAGAGCATGCCAGGCACTCCTGTCTTCCACTGCCTCCCGCAGTTTGGTCAAACTCATGTTAGTAGCTTCAAGAGCACTGTCCAACCGTCTCTTTCGTCCCCTTCTCGTGCCCTCAGTCTTTCCCAACATCAGGGTCTTTTCCAGGGAGTCTTCTCTTCTCATGAGGTGGCCAAAGTATTGGAGCCGCAGCTTCAGGATCTGTCCTTCCAGTGAGCACTCAGGGCTGATTTCCTTAAGAATGGATAGGTTTGATCTTCATGCAGTCCATGGGACTCTCAAGAATCTCCTCCAGCACCATAATTCAAAAGCACCAATTCTCCGGCTGTCAGCCTTCTTTATGGTCCAGCTCTCACTTCCATACATCACTACTGGGAAAACCATAGCTTTAACTATACGGACCTTTGTCGGCAAGTGATGTCAACTGTACCAAAGCTTTTCTCTCATGTTGGCGGGCTTCAGATACTGCAGAGCCAGGGCCTCTTCTGCTTGACCCACTGTTGGAGTGTCAGTGGAAGAAGGTTTGCAGTGGCCAGAAGACCTCCGCTAACTGTGGACACAGAGAGAGGGGTCTGCAATATTGAGTGGCTCCTTAACCACCTTCCCAAAGAGTTCAGGATTGCTCTGTTAGTCTTCCCTGCTAAATGAAATCATTGCAGGCAATATTTGTCAACAAAGATCTACTGTCAACTAGTACTAATAAGTGCCAGGCGAAAACATTCCTTTTCAACCAGGCCTTTGGATGATTAAACTATCTATGGCCTTTTAAATACGTCAGGGAGGTATTGGTTTTTTACTCTTCTGTTATGTATTTTGGTTTTTTATGCTGTAAAGCTTCCTGTGATCTTCGGATGCAGTACAGAAATTTAATTATTAAAAACAATTCTACTGATGCCTGTTGTCTTTAGGGAAGATAGTAAAATCCTCTTCAGCACTCAAAGAGAAACTTATTCTATAACTGTCTATATTCTGTAACTATATATAACTGTCATTTCCCTAATTATATGTGGACCCTTAAAACACGTTGCATTCTTTTGCTATGAACAATGCTGGCATTTATCAGTGAATTAATTATGCAAGTTGCCGGGTGTTCTAATCATTGTGTTTAATGTTGCTAGGGAGATCATCAAGTGATATAAAAATGCTATGGCCAAATTTACAGTGCAACCAACTCAGTTTGTTTTTATAATGCTTTCTATAAAATGTCTAGAGTTGTGATTGAGGCATCAATATATTTTAATCCGTGAAAGGAAAAAAAGCTACAAGATGAGATTGAATAGCTAACAGGAACAGATTAGTTTAGGAAGATCACCGCATTAAAAGCCATATTTGCTCAGAAACCTCAGAGCTGCAAGTACAGTTAATTTTAGAAACTTGTATTTATAAATGCACTTTATGTTAGTACCAGTCAGACAGATTAATTCACCATACTGAGCTTTCAATGCTCACATGGTCGCTTGAGTCATACCAGTTGCTGGGGAAGAACAGCAGAAGCCTACTGTTTTCATCTCCTTCTTGTAGGTTTTCCATAAGAATGTGGTTTGTCACTGTGGGGAAACAAGATGCACAGCTGTTCTTACATTCTTATGGAACTGTTTGCATCACACATCCTTGATCAGCAGCACACATGCTTTCTGCTTGTTGTGCACAGTGATCTGAATTAGGCTGGTTTTAGGCTGGTGGCAGGTTCTACATTTTGGTTGGAAGTTTGACTATAAACCCTTTTGGTGTCGACCAATGCTGAGGTTCAGGGTAGAGACAGGGACACAGCCTTGTATATTATTATTATTATTATTATTATTATTATTATTACCCCGCCCATCTGGCTGGGTTTCCCCAGCCACTCTGGGCGGCTTCCAACAAAGATTAAAAATACATTAAAATGTCGAGCTTTTCACAAATTATCTAAAAAGACAACAAAATCAACTGGACTCCTTGGCAGGTTTTGAATAAAAATACACAAATTTATTGGTTGATAACATGCTAGATAGATAAGGTAATGATATGTATAATTTTAAAGGGACACGGGTGGTGCTGTGGGTTAAACCACAGAGCCTAGGACTTGCCGATCAGAAGGTTGGCGGTTTGAATCCCCGCCAGGGGGTGAGCTCCCGTTGCTTGGTCCCTGCTCCTGCCAACCTAGCAGTTCGAAAGCACATCAAAGTGCAAGTAGATAAATAGGTACCGCTATAGCGGTAAGGTAAACAGCGTCTCCGTGTGCTGCTCTGGTTCGCCAAAAGCGGCTTAGTCATGCTGGCCACATGACCTGGAAGCTGTATGCCGGCTCCCTCAGCCAATAAAGCGAGATGAGCGCCGCAACCCCAGAGTCGGTCACGACTGGACCTAATGGTCAGGGGTCCCTTTACCTTTACTGTGTATAATTTTATAACATGCAGAGAATAATAAGTGCAGAGAAATCAGAAAGAGGAGCTGAGGGACATCCTTGGTGGGAGTGGGGAGGGAGGGATGGAAGGGGGTGGGGGGAAAAGGGGGGAAATAATTATGTGATTATACGGTTTGACAATTTGTTATGTTGAAATTGCTTAATAAAAACATTTTTTAAAAAAATACATTAAAATGTCACACATTAAAAACTTCCCTGAAGTTTTCAGATGAAGCCTTCAGATGTCTTAAATGTCAGGTAGTTGTTTATCACTTTGACATATGATGGGATATACAACCATCCTGGCATCCATGGGCATCAAGGGATTCCATGCAGGTGAGCAAGTGGGCTGGCAGAGAAGGGGCACTGTTCCAGCACTTTGAATTAGGACCGGAAAGTAATCAGCAACCCGTGCAGTTGGCCACAATTGGCATTATATGTTCAAACCATTGTATGCTCAAACTGTCTTGCTCTGGTGAGCATCGCTGGTGGCTGGGAGCAGACAGTTGAAAATGATTCTCTGTAGGGATCCCGTAATAGGAGAAAAACTTCAGAGATGTTTTGCTACTTCTGAAAGGAACCCCAGATATGTGTTTCTTAAAGAGGTCCAAGTACCCTTTCATTCCTTCTTTTTAATGAAATAGAGGCAGCTTCCAACAGAAGAAAAAAAAAGTATACAATTTTCTATGTATCTAGTCGGGAAGGAAGGCGAAGGACTGTATTTATAACAATATGTTGAATGTGTGAAGAAAATAAACTGAAATATATACATAGTATGTTTTCCCTGGCTTGCATGCCTACTTTATCAGCATTAGTAGATTCTGAAAAGTTGATGGTGTCCTTTTTATGTAGATTTGGAAGAAGTACAGGCGATTTTTTTCTTTTACACACACAGGAAGAATATTTGTTGTCATGAAATGAAAATATTATATATAGCTCCTCACCTGTGGTATAGCTTCTAATTTAAAGGCTATTTTTTTGGAATGCAACTGCGTAACTAATTTGTAACTCTTTCAATGTGTTAGGAATGTAAACTCAGCAGGCTTGTCTGCAAAGAGTGAGGAAGTGTAAGTAGATTGTTAGGAATTTGTCTCCAGTTTATTATTTCTTTGTTTGTTTGTTCGTTCATTTGTATACTGCTTAATCATAGCTGTATCTAAATGCTATATAGGAGATCCAATACAATAAGACTAAATATGAATTAAAACTATGAAATTAGGATTCAATAAAAAGCCTGTTCACTAATCAATGGAAGTTCAACAAGGAGTGGTCCTCAGCTGACCTAAGGTGGAAGGGATTTCCACCATATTGGGCCCACAATACTGAACCCATGGCTCCTTGTGAATACAAGCCATGCATCCAAGCCATGGGGGATGATTAACAGTGAATTTTCCCCAAACCTCAGTGATCAAGCAGTGGCATAAGGAAGCAGGCAGTCCCTGAAGTATCCTAGACCCAAGTTGTTAATGGCATTGTAAATGAATACAAGAACCTTGAACCCAGCCTGGTAGCATATGGACAGCCAGTGCAAGCTTTTGAGCACCAGAACTTTTGAGCACCAGATGCTGACGCTGTTCTAGCCATCCTCATCAGTAGTATAGCTGTAGTATTTTGCAGCAGCTGGAGCCACTGGACAGATGAAGGGTAGCCCCAAATAGAGTGCACCACAGTAATGGGGTACTGAGGTTATCAATGCATGAATCACTGTGACCAGACTATCCCTGTCCAAGAACGGCTGTAGCTGATCTACCAGCTGTATCAGGTGAAGTGCACTCCTAGTCACTGAGGCCATGTGAGCCACCCAGAATCAAGATGGAGCACCCCCAAACTCGAAACCTGTTTCTTCAGAAGGTGTGCAGACCCATTCAGAGCAGGCAACTGGCCAGTCTTCTTGGCATGGGAACCACAAACCCACAGTGCCTTTGATTCTGTCTCAAAATGGCACCTGAGCCCTGACTGAAGTTGATCTAGATACATAACTGGTATTCTCCAGGAACTCCCAACAACTGCCCAGTTTTATTTTGTATCTGTGAACTATTCCTTAAAGATATCCTTAAAAATATCTGTATCATCTAATATTTTGTTCTGACTACAGTGGTACCTCAGGTTACATACGCTTCACGTTACTGACTCCGCTTACCCAGAAATATTATCTCAGGTTAAGAACTTTGCTTCAGGGTGAGAACAGAACTTGTGCAGTGGCGGCGCAGCAGCAGCAGGAGGCCCCATTAGTTAAAGTGGTGCTTCAGGTTAAGAACAGTTTCAGATTAAGAACAGACCTCCAGAACGAATTAAGTTTGTAACCCGAGGTACCACTGTAATATAAAGTCACAAGACTACTCTCACATGGATTAATTGCAATGTAATCATTTTATATTACAGCATACCTTCTTCAAAGACTGAAAAAACAAGTCTCTTTATCTATCCTTGCCATCTTGAATTAGAAGTTATATTACATTGTGACACTGAAGGCTAAATTTTTGTCTTTTATTTTATTTTTTATCTGTGCTAATTAATGGCCTATACATCTCTCTTTTTGGAAGTATGTAGTTTGCTTGCTACTGTGTTTTGAACTGATAAATCACTAAAGATAGCCTACATGTATCTTTCTGTGTGCTAAACATTGGAGGGTACTTTCTTCTAATCTAGTATAAAACCTTTTGGCACTGTTTTAGAAAGTGTAAAAATGATGCAGTACTTGTGGACTGCAGGACAACAAAGAAGAAAGGGGAAAACTTAATATTTATGAATATGATTGAACATTTATCTGGACTAACATATGTGGCCTGCCAACATCCATCTTAACTGAATGCTTCCAGACTGATATCTCCCAAAGGATCATCCCTGAGTATATCTTTTCCTGTCATCTTTCCATTGTGTACCATATATCTGATTTCTACTCTATGATGTTTCATCTAACTTTCCTCCTTGGTAATACTTTCCATAATGATGCAGCAATACAGTTTTTATGTATTTTAAATCCCACTTTAAGGACAGGTGACAGCAATTATACACACAACAGGCTGGGTTAGCTAAACTGTAACTTGTGAATTTTGTGTGGCTTGTAGGTAATTAATGTGGGGCTTCTGAGTGATTAAAGTGATGAGAAATGGATTTGCAGGAGCTCTGTAATGCACATGTGATAGAGGCATGTCCTTCCTACCCTATGCTGAAGCCAGTGGTGAAGCTGCATGCTCCACTACCGGGGGCAGAGAGCAGGCGGGGACGAGGCTGCCCCGGGGAGGCATGGTACGCCGCCTGTGAGGGTGTGGTACGCCACCCACAGGGGCATGCCACGTGTTCTGGGGGCGTGACCGCCTGTGGGGGTGCGGCGCCCGGCGCACAGGGGGGTGCGCGGCACATGTCCAGGAGGGCCGCCATGATGGCATCCTACTGGAATAGTGGTGCCGGGGGCGGTCTGCTCCCTCTGCACCCCTTTCCTCCGCCAGTGGCTGAAGCCAAAGCAATCTAGAAGTGAAGGGGAAAGGATTTATAGTAGCAGAATCTGTGAGGATCTGGATTACAAACTCAGATTTTGCAGCAGGTATTTCATGAACTAATATGTGGGAATGAACTAATTTAAGTGGTCTGCAGAAATCGTAATCTCTGTTGAAAGCAAGATGCAATTATCTGCCTGAAAGCTGTGGAGAAGGAGAACATCAAGTGGGGGAGAAGGCAAAACAAGCAGAAGTTATAGAAGGAAAAGTGATAGTAGAAGCTCAGGGTCCTGTGCCTCTTGGCAAATGAAAACAGGTGTAAAAATAGGCACCGTTGTTTCTTAAGTTTAGGAACTTTAGCAATCTTTGAAATAGACAGACCTTTGTCTTCTAGGACTCCTGGTTTAGCAGATCTGGAAGGAAGTAATGAGGTGCCTTCAAAATTCGTAATGGATGGTTGGGGGGGGGCATCTAGAGAAGACTTGCAGGGTAGGGTGAAGGAGGAGAGGAAACAGAAGTCTCATTCTTATGTTGTGAAGCTACAATTGTAGGTCAATTTCTGCATGTTGACCAAAATGGGAATGTAACCAAATATTGTGGATTTTAGCCACAAGACTTTTTGTAGAATAGCAGACTGATTGCCAATCCGGTCTCCTTCCCTCCCCTGGATCCTGTGTAGGTGGCCAGCATGATGTTGTTCAGATGAGAAGCTTACAGAGCAAAACATCAGTGATTCATGAGATGCACAGGATATAAACAGAACCAGAAGAAGAGAATGCTGCTTTGATCATCTCAAGTGGATGCTTCAAAAGCATTGCTGAAGCCAACAAACTCAGTATATGGGGCAAGATTCTACAGCAGCCAGAGGTGCCAACTTCTAAAAAAAGATTGTGGGTGCCTGACACGATGGACTGATGTCACACGCTCAACGTTGTGAGGAGCCAGGGGGTGGAGCTGAATGTGGTCCCAGTGGTCAGTGGCCCCCATCTTCCCCCTATGCCGCACAAGAGAAAGACGGGGAAAACTGCCCCTGGCCAGTGGTGGTGACAGCGGCAGGAGGAACCACTGGCCACTGAAGCCACACCATGCCTGGCTCCACATTTGCCCTCCTCCACCCTCTGAACAGTGGTGGGGCCCAGCCCCCTCAAGAAAACATTGGGGGGAGGCAAAGTGCTTATGACAGCAACTTCTTCATGCACTTGTCTGTGTGCAAATGAACCAATTTAAGGTGGTTTGGTGGATTTACTAAGATTAGTTGGTTTAAACGCAAGTGCAGTGGTTTAAGTGGTTTGTGCTTGTCACTTGAGAGGCAATTTGCTTTGAAGTGGATGGCATCCACTGATGCCAACATATTAATAACTGCAACACAAAGTGCAATCAATGTTTCCAATTAATGAGACTTGGCAGCTTTTCCTATTTGCAGTGATTCAAACCATGATGCTTGATAAGTTTTAATCTTTTCAATATTGCAATTTAAATAAAAGTCTGAAAATCTATAAGGCCTTGCTGGAAACTTTCAATCACTTCCTTTGTTTGGTTTTCAAATGACTCAGTACTTCCTTCCATATGTATATCACAAGCTGGCATCCAGTCTGATTTATATTTTGTATGAGTCCACCGGAGATTAAAATTCAAAAGTAAATAGCATGTTGATAGGAGAGAGGAGAAAGAAAGAATATTTGTGACTATGCTATTGCAAGAAGCAAACACTATAATTCACTGGCTTGTTAAGCCTTAAGGGAAGGCTGGAAAACAAGAAGCCAATATGCTGTGGGCAGAGCTCAGCATGGAGAGGGAAACAAAAAATAGAAAGTACATGTTTGCCTTAAACGTAATTGATTTTATGTTAAAAATACTGAATTCTATGGTATCTTGGAAAAATTCCAAACTCTCTAATTACAGTATGGGGAAGATGGCAGGTTTGGGAGAGAAGAGTTATGTGGATTCATGTAGGCATCACTGCACCTTTTTATGTATGGCATGTGTTTTCAAAGGTACCCTCATTGTTTTTCTAACTTTTTAATTAAGGGCATAAAAGCAAAGCAAAATAGGATTTTGGATATAGTGTGATGAGAGCATATTTATGGCTATGTAGAGGGAATTAACCTGGCCAATTAAACACCATTAATACATGGGTCGTGGCTGGGGAAATTTCTAGCAAGAAAGATACAGTCCTGAGCTGCTTGAGTCTAACATTACCCTGGATTTCTTCACCGCTGATGTGTCACCTTGAATTCCCATCACAGCAAGTAACAATAGGAGTGAACTTTACTTTCCTGAGACCACATAATGAGTTTACCAGTGCTTGGCTATGTTTTTCAATGGCGGGACACCAGGAGAAGTGATAATAAAAGAGTGACTCTGAGTATGTGGACAATGGATTCCTTTTGCTAATAAGTAACTACAACCAGGCCTCACACATTCTGAATTACAGAAAAGAGGTGGAGGGTATGCTTTCTGGGGATGTTTGACACATACTACACACCTCTTTTAGAAAATGAAGCCCTGGAGTTCTCTCATCTTGCAAATAGCAGAGGAAGGGGAGTGTTCAGTTGGAATCATTGTGAGGTGCCTTAGACCTAGTGAAACTGTAGAATCCTCAGAAATAGGGAAGAACAGCACTTTTGTTAGCTGTAAAGCATGTGAATCTCTACTCTCTTAATCCCTTAGTATTCATGCAACATGAACTGGACTTTGCAAGCTGATGGAGTTATGAAGTGGGAACTATTTCTGAGAATGCTCAGAGCACTCTCACTTCTCAAAGGGACCTATATAAAGGAAAACAAAAGCTAGCTAAGCTTCTATTGCTCCAGGTTACCAAGCATGGGAAACTGGAGAAAACCCTCCCCCCAAATGATTTCTGGAAGCATTAGCAGAATATCTAATGGTAACATACATGATAGGACAATAATATCTGTCAGTGGAATGGACAAATACTGCAGCTCCTAAATTCTGCAATTATCAGATTTCACTTGTTTTGGAAAGTTCTCCTTCCGTACCTTTTACGTAATAGAAGATTCCACAGTTTGGTTGGTGCAGTATTGTCTGTTGCTACTAATCTCCTCATACATGACAATTCTTGGCCTCTTTCTATTACTGTGCTTTTCTCACCTTTTCCTGAACCTGTCTTTATGCTTCTTTATGCCCACACACCACCTTTCTGTAGAATGTCAGGTGTAGATATTTCCTCATGTCTGTGGATTTTTGTCCTTCAGTGTTTCATTTGTGTGTGCATGGTTGTTTCAACATTAAAAATAACTTATGTAGCATTTCTCTATATACAAAGCGCTGTACCATGTTTCTTTATCTTCAAAGCAACACTATGTTAGGAGAACACTGGTAACAGGTATGTGTCAGCATTTTATTGAGGCTATTTTATTTGTAAGTTGCTAGAACAAGAGCTGTGTGCCTTACTTTGGGAACTGACCTTAATGAAGTGGAACACAATAACTTAAGTTGTGCTTCCTTTAATAGGCCATGTCTGCATTGCAGTAAACTTGTCTGTCTGATGTGGTGTTCAGTTGGATTGCTTACACTGCATTTGAGCAAGCTGTCTGCTTTTCTAGTGTGTCCACTAATTCTACTATATCACGTATATATGGTGCCAGGTGTGGACAAGACCCTGCATATCAGAAATAGATGGGCAAGACAGGGTCAAGAAGGAAAAAGTGAGATGGGGCATGTATCTTATATCCAGGTGTACTCTACTCCTAAAGGCCTTCTTACGCATCTTATACAATAACTTTCCTTGGAAGTGCTATTGAAATTAATGAGACTTACTTGCAAATGAACATTGCTAGGATTGAACCATAGACCATTCACATCACATGAAATGACCAGATTCAGGGACACCTTTTTTTTACCAGCAAAAGCACAGAAAAAGAAATATATTTGTTCCGTTTACAGGTGCATGCTGTTGTTTTTGTGCAATAAATGTGCACCCCCCTTTGCATGCACCAACAGCCTATAATCCCTCAAACTGCCTTTCTGTCAGGGATATCATGGTTTTCCAAGTCATTGTGCACTATTTTTTACCTGTGAAAATATGGTGCTTACCACACAGAAAGCATTCAGTGCTATTCAGATTCCTGTGTAGGATGTGGTTGCTTGAGTGCCACAGTTTAATATAGTGGTGAGCCACAAGTTTCCCCTCACTCTGCAGCATTTGTTGCATTTTAGCTTAAAATAACTCTTTAGTGACTGTATGGATCCAAACACATCTACTTAAACAACACCCTGGTTACTTCTCATGCCCCCCCCCAAATGCATGGATTGTGAATTACGAGGAGGCCCAGGTACAAATCCCCCGTCTGTCATGAAGCTTGCTTTTAAAAAGAATAAAATCTTCGTTTATTTACTTTGAAGTAAGTCCCGCTAGGTCTGTGGCATCTGTTCCTGTGACATTGGAGCTTTATGTCTGTGTCTGCTGGTTGCTACCGAATTCAATCAAATTGAATTTTACGCAGTTATTTGGGAGCAAGCCCTACAAACAGCAGCAAGACTTGCAGTGTGCATAGCACTGGGTTGTTGATCGCTAATCTGTGTGATGCTAAAGGATCCACCCGCTGTGTGTTCGTGCATGGCTTGATGGAAAAAGCCACTGCTTTGCACGGAAGTCGCTGCACAGGAAGGCTTCTGCACTTTTTTTTTTTTTGGCAATAAGTTCCCAAGGACAGTCTCTACGCTGGATTTATGTCGGAAAAATTACGGGCGAGAATTTAGCAGCCGCATTAGGTATTATCAGTAGGTTGGCTGCATAGCCGCGAACCGGGAAGTAGCTGCTGGGGGCGCCTTTCCCCCGGCTTCGTCCGTCGAGCCACTGCTGCAACTGCAAGGGCGCGGAGCGTGCCTCGACTTTCAGAGCCGCTACGGAGGACAGGCTACCGCAGCGACAACACCCTCCGGAGCCGAGCACCCTTTCCCCCTTTCCTTTGCCTGCGCTCGCAAGGCTTCGCGGTCCACCGCTAGGCCCGGCGCTTGGCAGTTGCCATAGTAACTGCCGCGGCTGCTCGGGTCCCCCTCTTTGGCGCGGCGCGCGGCGATGGCCGCAGCCACGCGGCTTCTCGCGAGAGTTGGACTGCTAAGCAGGCGGAGCGAGGCAAGCTTGCTGGGTGAGCTCATCCCGGGCGCTGGAGAGGGAGCGAGCAGCGGCTCACGCAGAAGCCGCAGCAACTTTGTTGGGTGAGTTCTGGGGAGGGAAGCAGGGAGGCAGGTAGCTGAGCGAGGCTGGGCTGGGCAGCGGGGAGGGGGGATACGGCTTCAGACCCCCCCTCTTTCCCCCCACCCCACCTTCCTCTGCTGCCCCCGAGTGCGGCTGAACCTGGCGAGACACGCGCGCGCGCGCACACACACAAATATGCATGCACACATACATATTTCTAGTCTCCTCCGCATACTGACGGGGCAACGGCGACACACAAACCAGGACCACCCCCCGTCCTCTAACCCAAGTCCCCCCCCCCCCCCACAAAATGACTCTGGTAGTCGCAGCGGGAGGGAGCTGAAAACCTGAATGAAACGGGTGGAGGCAACACGCCCCCTCTTTCACCGCTCTAATCCCACTTCTCCGACAACCTCTGCTCCTAAAGCGCCTTTCCCCTTCCCTTCCCCCTTCCCTTTGACTCCCGAGACCTTGAGTTTTCTGTGCTATTGATTCCCACCCCGCACCTTGCCAAAGTCCTGCTGCTGCATGATGGTCGCCCCCTCTGTCCCCCAATTCATTAAACCGGGAGCCTCTCCTCCCCCCCCTTCGATTCATTGGAGAGAGAAAGACTCTCTTTTCAGCGCCCCCTGCCCAAATATTTCCTATATCCCCGAGAAATGAGCTGCACGGAAAGTCTGCGAGCTTCGCCTGCAACTGACCAGCGAGATTCGGAGCTGACTTGCTCACCCTGCCCCCAGTTTAAACAAGGAAAAAAAAAGAAGCAGCGGTATTCACTTGGCTTTCCTTCTCTCCCCCGCCTTCTGGTACTCATTGGATTCATCTCTTTTCCACCTCCACCCCTCCAAAAAAAAGAGAGTGCGGGAGGGAGAAGAGGACTCGTATTTCTCCCCAAACCTCTTGACCAAGTTGATTATTTTTCCTGTGGGTAGAACCGACAGGCGGTTGCTGTGGAAAGGTTTTCTTCCTCTGTGTTCCCCCATCCTTTTTTTGGGTGGTTGGGGGAATGGGTCAAAAGAGTCAGCAGTTTTAGTTGTCAGCTCTGCTGTAGTTATTTTCTTCTGAACCAGTTTGGACACTGTGATAATTATTAGCTAATTCAAAGGTAATGCCGTTGGGGATAATCTGAATGTTTATAGTGTGGGAAAGGGAGTGGAAGAATGAAACGTAGTTTCTTTCCCGGTAGTTCAGATAAGTGAATAGGGAATGCTTTAAAACTGGATCTTGTAGAACAGGTAGCTTTGAACAGGTTTGTTTCTAAAATAAAAATAGGCACACTTTTCCATTGTCTCCCGAGGCGGATGGTTGCCAACAAAATGGATTATAAGTGAAGTAAAACTACATTTTCTTTTATGTTCTAAATGTTATATTTTTAGTAACAGTTCTGCCACATGGTATGGTTTTAAAATTAATGTATGCATATCTATTGGATAATCATGGATTATGTTTATTGCTGAGGTGGGGGGGAATTGTCTGCATTGGGGGGGAATAGAACAGAAAATGCTTTTAGTAGGAAATTCTCCTTGTCTAACCTTGACTGCTGCTGTTCATTTTTTTTCTGCTACAAATCCAGACGTTTTTTTCTGAATTCATTTTGTCCAGGATGATTTAAAAATCTTACTACTGATTCTTGGGTTTTTGGTGATTCTGCCAAGTGTGGGTCCTTGCAGTGTTACAATTTTCCTTTAGAGGTGTCAGGTTTCATTAGATTCCCAGTTTGTCTGTCTGGATGAATGAAGATTGGTCCTTCCTCTTTAAATTTTGCCTTTCATGATGAAACTGACCTGGAACCTCCTCTTTTCCACTGCTGTGCACATTGCATGCGGTGCATGTTCACTTTTATGGATTTAAATTGTAAACAAGCTTCATAAAGGATTTTCTTTTGGTGCTTCTTGTTGGTTGTGCAATAGGTGTCTCCAATTTCATATAGAGTTGGGAGTATAGCAGTTTATTTTTGAGCAGTGCAGTTCAACAGTACAGCTCCTTGTTCTGCCTTTGAGGCATAAGGGAAAGTGGAATCTTAAGTTTCTGACAATAGTATTTATTGCAAAAGGTTTTCATTGCATTTATATTTCACTACCTCCATTTCCTAAGTTGGCCTTCTGGCTAACTGTCCAGAGGTTAACCAGGTCCAACTTTACTATATTTTTAAAGTATTTTGAAGAAACGAGTACAGTGATGGTCAACCAGCAAGAGCCTTGTGCACACACTATTCTGTTTGAGGAGTCCGTCTTTTTCCTCTGCATAGTAAATGATCACCTGTTGGGGGAAGGAAGCAGTTGAAGAATATCCAGGAATCACTTTTCCTGATCATTTGTTTGTTGTGTACACGGTGCATGAGCACTTATACATTTGTATGTGTGTTAAATATTGGTTGCCTGCAACCAGCAGCCTTAAGTTTTCAGTTACTCATCAAATTGTGCTTGCCTGAACATGTCTGTTCTTATACCCAATTGTGTTTTGCTGTGTTTATAGTTTGCCTTCTTGTTTTAACCAGTTTTTGCATAATGCAGTATAATGCCATTTAGATAGTATTCAAATTTTTGTTGAAGCATCTTGTCTCTTATGCTGCCTTTGAGAGTAAACTCCTTCAAGTCATCTTACAATAGAGGTATCAATTATATATGCAGTTGGGTTTACTTTGGGTCAGTTTACCTAAGCGGCTGAACAAAGTACTAAGTAGGTAATAGCTGTATCTTTTGTTTGAAATGTTGGTGATATTGGTGGTTCAATGAATTTTACTTCTGTGGTGGTGTTAGGTTTGAGCTTGGTATGTAGCATAGCTGTCAACTTTTCCCTTTTCTTGCGAGGAATTCTATTCGGAATAAGGGAATTTCCCTTAAAAGAAGAGAAACGTTGACAGCTGTGGTATGTAGACATTTGTACTAGCAGTTGTAGATTTGAATTTGGATTAAAGAAATATAGTATGAATTGAAATAGCATGTGGCACTTCTTCTGTTATCCCAGCCCTGTACACAGCTCTGCATATGTGGAAATATACTTTTTTTGGACAATTTCAAGCCTACCCTCCCAACTTGGATTCAGAGCTCTGGGGAAGAGCAGGGTTGAATAATCTCTTACATAGGCCCCAGAGTGGATTGGTGAACCTGTGGCCCTCTATATACTGTTGGGACTGCAACTCCCATCAACCCCAGACAGCATGGCAGATTGTCAGAGATTATGTAAATTTTAATGTGAAAACATGTGGAGGGCTACAGGTTCCCATCCCTTCCCTAGATAGAATATAGTTGAGTATGACTGGACCTCCCACGTAATGGTCAAATGTATTATAGTGAAATACTAGAACATTTATTTAAAATGTTTTGTTAAAACCAAGACAGTTACTTAAAAACAACAACCCCACTTTCAAACAGTTTATGAACCTACTTTGTAGCTGATGTATACCACTAATATCTTAACTAGATTGTATCAAGTATAATTATTATTTTTATTTTGAAACATGTTGGATCTTATCTTTATTTATTCTCTTCTTACTATGCCTGATTATTCTGTATGTTCAACTAGGGTTTCATTTTTTTTTGTACAGTACATGGTGAAGGACAAGTTGTAAAGCTGGAAGACAGCCATTGTTTTAGACAACCTACAAACTCTGAAAGAGGGAGAGAGAGGATTGTGTCCCCCTTGAATTTCTTTTGTATCCATCCTCATTTATACAACCATAGTATGTCTCTTCAATGAGAGAAAGGGGCACAGATTTCTCCATAGCAATAGTATAGGCTTTACACCAAGGGACTTGCTGCTTAATATTCACTGCTTACAGGACATTCAGGATACCCCACTGAGATGCAGAAAAAGCTCCAGTGTTGCTTTAAAAAATGTAAATCCTGCAGGTTGATCGCTTGTCTAACAACTATTTTCTTACCACCACCTCTAAACTATTTCTAGTGAAAGTTGGGATTACTTTTGGTATGTCAGCAAAGTACTTTTTGGGTGTTATTTAGCTATTGCACCATGCCCCTGTTTATAGAAGCACCTATCACTTGACTCCAAGTATATACAGTACTTGGATGTACTGAATTTTTCAAATATATAACTGGTGATTCATACCTTGGGTTTCCCCCCTATTAACATCATTTCAGAAGTTTTATTTTTAATTCTTCAGAAATTTGGTATATAGTTTTGTAGTGTTTTTTGTAAATGTGTGTGTATGCTGGATTTCTTTTGATAGCATGCTACTGTCAACTAGGGGGAAATGCCATGCTCCTTTGTATCTTAGGTAGGGGGAGATTCTATCACAGGGTTTGTTGGCTAATTTTCTATATCGATAGTCCAGTCTGTCATTTTTAAATCAGCTGAATTAATTCAATTTGAAAGGAACCTGAATGTGATGTTCCATGGCTCTTGGTAGATCTGGATATATTTTTTATTTTAAGAAGGGTAATTGTCTGTTAAATATCATCTTATAATCAGATGAAAATGTGCTGGATTGTTCTTAGTTTCATGTTTCCAGGGAGATATGACTCAGTGACTTTGCTTCCCAAGAATCTCTGTTAACGTAAGATTCCCCAGTTGATACATATTTATAAATTGTTGGCTTCATTTTGATTCTCATTTGAGATAGAAAGCTGCTTTTTAAAAAGTAACTCCTTAGTGAATTGGACACCAGCAGGTGATAAAAAATAAACTTGGTGATGATTGTTCATACTGTTAATTAATTATTTCAATAGCTATTTATTGGTACTAAATATGGGATCTTCTAGGTTGCTCTTCTGATTTTAGTTCTCTACAATTGCATCATGGAATTAACTTTCTTCACTATTGTTGGTACTCATTAGTGTGTGTTTTTTGTAAATAATTTTTTATTAATTTTAACAGATATTAAACAATAAAATAAAGATACAAAAATCAAACCACAATCTAACTTTTGAA